GTTAACCATGGGAGGATGATTGATGGCACCCAGAATGGTGTCCACTGCCGTGTGGAAGCACTTTGGAACCGATGCACGCGCAGCGGAGCGCGAGGTCACGCACGAGTCCTGCACAGGTCTGATTTTCAAGGACCGCTCCCGCCCGGCACCCGCGACGGTGCAATGTACCGAACCCGCCGCTCAGAGCGACATATTGCCATTAGTTCCGCAACGCGACCCGGGACCCGTCGGCACAAGATCGCAACCCGACCGCCCGCACTATATATGAGCCAGTGAAAACGTTGCACATCATTAACACACGCAGTTGCATACTCTCTGTCGTCAAAAAGGCAGTGGGATGGTTGAATTCATTTTCTGCACCGTAGGGATGGACACCAAAAGCCTCCAGGACGGTTGGGATTTCGCTCTTGAGGAAGTTGTTTATGAAATGATGCTGTATTCTCGCACTAGAGAGCTTCACCTCAGCCATTCAGAATGTGGTGCGCTCAGCAGCAGATTGATGCGCTGCAGAGGTTATGATTATGCGCGGTCCCGCGGGGGAGAGGTCTGAAGATTTAAACATTAAACTAAATTATTATTATTTTAATATATTTATTATGCAACACCTGCAACCCGACCCGCATCATCTTTGTTTTTTACCCAGAACCGAACCCGGAAAAAAGCATTTGAAAAAATACAACCCGTGAATCAACTTTTTTGCGGGTCACCCGTCGGGTGCAGGACTCTGGGTCACGCGCACCTGACACAATTTGTTGTTTGTATTTTTCGCTCCGTTCTCTTTTTTGAATAGAGGGTGCATAACATTCAACTGCCCCGAAGATCCCGACGCGAAGCCTGAAGGGTAAATACACCAGGTTTACTAATCTACCCGCACAATTTGTCTCGGGTGTCGGAATGTCTCGCTATGTTAGTACATTCTTAACACTAGAACCGCCAGAGGTTGCTGTATACCTAAAACCGCCAACGGGTAAAATGTACCCGCTATTGATTTTTAAGGTACAATATTCTTTTATTTATCATACAGAACAGTGAGTTTTGATCGCACAGTGATGAAACTTATACCAATAGATTCTGTGGACGCCCAGCTTTTCATATGCTATAGTTTGTGCAGATAGCATGAAGTATAAAATATCGCTAAGAGTGCTGATTTAAACGCTTGGTGTTAGACTTGTGTTTTGTTTAGGTACAAATCTCTCTATCTCTCTATCTATCTATAACTATCTATCGATATATCTGTAATGTTCTGTTCTATGGACATATAATTGTCTACATAAACAGACGACGCGGACTACTTCTCTCATTCCGAGTGTCCATCTTTATTCAACTGGCACGTAACCTGCACACATGCATTACGTCCTCAACGTGAGCTCAGTCATCCAAGATCTTGTATTCTCCAAGATGTTACACTATCTATAACTATCTCTCTCTCTCTATCTCTATCTATCAATATATCTATCTATTTATCTCTCTCCATCTATCTCCCTCCATCTCTCTATCTATAAGGAACCGCAGTAGACAAAAGGCGTTGCTATAGCAACACATCGTGTTTGCTGCATTTTCTACGAGGTAAATATGACCCGCTGGCGGATATGGGTATAAACTGCAGTTTTTTTGGCGATTTTTTCAATCTGATTTCCTATTGACAATTTTTAACAACAGAGGGTGCTATATAACACACTTTCAGGAAAAGTCAAGGACTGGGAGACTTCAATATGTTATGGAAAAAAAGTTACATACAATAAAAAAACAGCTGCGGGTAAAATGTACCCGTTGGAGGTTCTAGTGTTAAATAAAGGTATTTGGTGGTTCTATTGTAGAAACCGCCTTTGTAAATGTTTCATCAATATGTGGTTGGATGTGAGCCTGCAGATTCCTGTGTTATCTGGGTTTGTCCAAAGGAAATAGGTGGAGATCCAGTTCTCAGTGCTAATAGGAAGTAAACTAAAAACCAAATTAGTGTTGTTGTCCGAATAATAGAAACAAGGCCATGCGTAATGTGACTGCTGGGAGTCTTAAAATGTCACAACATCAAGCGATCAAACGCCAGCTCTGTCAACAAGTAGCAGTTAAAACAAAACCTATTCTACTATCACAAACTATGACTCCCTAAAAATGGGTTGTAGCTTCCCTGAGAGTTAAATATGGTACAGTATTCCTTTAGAGACACCCAATAAATAACAAATAAGGTCTATCATGTTATATCTCGAGTGTGTGTATTAAACAAATGCTATTTTTTTTACCTAAACCAAGTATTTGCTTTGATACCAAGGGACAATTAGGTGGCTTTCCTACACTTTGTAACAAATTCATCTTTGATCACAAACTGTGAAACTCAAGCTCTGATTTCTCAAATGAAATGTTTGTGAAGTGATGCATGTGCCATGACATTACATATTAAACTGTGAAAACAAATCAAAAATAACATAATGAGTGTGACCAGCAGGACAAAGGCTACAATCGCTCCTGCGACTCGCTGCGACCCTGCAGACGTTTCCCACTTCAAGCAGACGCCCCTTGTGATCTCTCAGTGAGGTTGAAAGGAGCATTTGTTCCAGACGTTAGAATTTCTTGAACCCATGACATTAAGGTTAAAGTCAGCTGATGTCTGCGCCCTGACAGCAGCCTCAGTGCGGCTTTTAAACAGCATCCAACACAGAAACAATCAAACCTGGGTGAGCTTAAACATTTTTTTAAAAATCACATAATTCTTACTTTGATATAAAAGCAAGGCACTCGTTTCCTTTCTAATCTTATGCCAGTGAATTGAATCAAACAGGCATTTCTTTTGCCACCTTAAAGCAATTTGGCTGAGACTGAAGTGCGAGAGGCAGAAAATCAATTGGACGGCTTCTTAAGCAACATTAAGGCCTTACATCCATCACAAACATCTGAGCTAATTACTGTGAATCTACACAATTACATGAGGCTCTGCGACTACACAAGGAATGCGACCGTCTAATCAAAGAGCTATGATGTCAAATCTATTTCTTCTCCATTGTCTGCGTCCGCGAGTGGAAGTGCGTTTGAAGTTGTGGACAAAACAGGATGTAATGACCTCATAAATAAAATAGCAGCATGTTTAGACTAGAAAAGGACAGCATGGAATATAAATACGTTCATGTACATATTTCAATGTACAGAACGCTTGAGACCCGTGAAAAATGTCACCGCGTCCACGGATCAAAGCTACATCCATTCCATACACACAGACATTTCAGTCCTCAATGGGTCCTCTTCCTCCCAGACTGGGCTACTGCTCAGACGGGAAAAAGGGGTTACACAGGAGTCCACCCAGCGGACATAACTGAAGGAAAACAGGATACAGCTGGAGCGCTACAGCCAACACAGCCGAGGAGAACCAAGACGTGAAGTCTATATGAAGCGTCTTGAGGGGCTACAGTATACGGTTCAACATGTTTTCAGCTGCTACCTACAGGCTTAAAGCAAACACTTCATTTACAACATGAATACACATTGTGTGATTTAAAGAAGTGAACAGGAAGTGTCATACGCTCATTATTTTGAACTTTAACCTAATTTTTGAATGCAGGGTTGTAGCTCACATTTAAGATTATTTTCAATTCGTCTAAAGATTATTTGAGTGCTATGTCAATGGAAACATCGGAAGACAAAGAAAGAAACATCTCTTATAATACTCCAAAGACTAACTAACATATTCAATGTGATATGTCTGACCAACAGTCAAAGAAACAAACATTTTCAGATACCTTCATATGCAGATCGAAGGAAAGCATTACATATTCTCATCCTAGCGGCGGCCATTATTGATGTTTGGAGGGCATTTTTGCTTGAAGTGATCGATTCAAATCTTAAAAAGCAACCATCATATAGTCAATGCTGCTTAACATATTTCAAACGATGGCATGCCCGCTAAAGTCCTTTTTAGAAATGTTACTTAAAATCCTTTAAAACCACATCCATGTATTTCTCTGTTAATCACAGTTAATGAAAGCAACAGCAGTCCGAGGTGTGTGAAGTTTAGACTTACTGTTGCGTGTGCTGTTGTCCCAGTCCCAGGCTGCTACGATCACCGTGTACGTCCGCTGGAGAGGAAGGAAGAAGAAGTGAGTCAGGTGAACATCTTGACAAAAAAGCATGAGTTTTTTTACTTCATATCCCCAACACATCGAGCAAGAGCTCATTTCTGTGCACGTGCCGAGCGATCAGACTGATGTCCTTTGGAGTAGCAATGCATGGAACAAATAATATTATAAAACCTGCTGTATGATCAAATATTCTCTAATTGAAGTCTCCTTTTCTTAGCACTAGAATTAGTCAACGCCCACTTAAAGTCTGACATTTGAAACATGATAATTTTAGTATTTAATTATAATATGTTTTTGTAAATACTAGAATAATCCCATGACATCAAATTAGGCATGAAATCTCGTCTACTCTTCACAGTAAAAAGGGAACATTTAGAACAGCATGTTATGTTGTTCCCAAATGGACTAATAAGTAAACATGACCTTTTATCACAATGTCCCTCTTACATAGAGAGAATAATGTGGATGAACTTTTTGGCGATAGTCACACAACTCTTCTACAAGCTTCAGCTCACACGCACACAAACACGATGCATAATCGATTTCACTGCTACTACAGAGTCTCGTATGAAACTTGGCCCCGTTACTCCGAGGTGCGCTTGAGTTACACCGTCAATGAAACCCAATGATACAAAGATAAGAGAGCAACATACGGTAAGTACAACTGTGGGAAGAAGCCAAGAGAAGCTGCAAGACTGAGATGTGGAGAGAGGACATAAGAGAACGGCAAACTGCCTGCAAACTTTCCTCTAGGTCAGAATGCGGTGTGGCGGAGCTGCACAAACCCTGGAAACAAATTTGTCATTGAGTTCAACGGACATCAATGCAGACACAAGTAGCAGCAAAGAGTTACGTGAGAAGAGTAATGGAACTGTATGGATAGCTTAGCATGAAGCCAATTAACAAAGATAATTGGCAGCTAGTTTTTTAACTTCTACACTTTTTTCACATCAACATTTCAAACACCAATATACAGAATAATGTACTGGTAATTGTGTATGATAATATTTGGTTTTGTGTATGTATTTCACATCTAAATTGTATTTTTATATAAGCCATAGTCATAATATCATGTGTCAATGTCAATGTGTGTCAATGTCATAGCAATAGTCATAGCCATGTGCCATACCACACCCTAACACATACTTTTTTTCATGTGATTGGTATTTGTGTGAAACAAATACACACATCAATAGCTTTTTGTATGTATTATAATTATTTAATTGGAACAAAAACTGAAGTATAAAAACAATACGTTTTCTGAAATTCCACCAGGACTGTTTTAAAAAAAAAAAAAAAAAAGAAAAAAAAAGAAGAAAAGCAGGTCACCATGTTTTTAGGAAAAATAAAGCCTCAGCATGTTTGATGTCCATTAAGAAGGTCACTTTGCCAATGTTCGCTGTCTGAGATGAACTCTGCCTGGCTTTGTCCTTGCTTGTCAGACAGAGAAGTAAATCAGCAGCTAAGGGGATTATCACTATAACAGTTGACCAGTAAAACAGTAGTGGGGCAATGATGAAAGCCTTTTAGTCTGTAATGAAATGAATTAGTTTATTAATCAATTAGTGGATAATCAGAAATGGTATGAACAAGAAGGCTGATCCATTGCATAATGAAGCAGAAATGTCAATTAGGGGGATTTGATATAGTTTTATGGAATCTGTTTGGTTTTAATTGTTTGTTGAAGATGTTAGCTTGAGCTCTTGTAAAATAGGATAGCTACTATTCATTATTGTCTGACTTATTGGAATATTTGATTAATAAACAAACATACAGATTATAAATGTGTGACCCAAGTTTTATCTGGGACACCATTTACTAATGCACGCATCACAGTGCCTCAAAACACAAAAGTTTTGATTTATTTAGCAATATAACAAATATGTCAAAGATTTTTTCATTTGAAATATTCCATGTTGTCAATTTAGGTAAATACTTGAACTGATATTTGATGGTTGTTTGGAGGGATTGTTCCGACAAATTCTTTGCAATGACGTAGCAAGAAACATGAGCCGACACTGGTTTGAGTAAACATGAACACAAACAGATGGAAACCAAACAAGCTAACCAGCATCAGAAGAGTAATCTAGCTGGTGTGCTGCAGGGCACACTGCTAGGCAACCAGCTGACCTAAATAACAGTCATTACGTCACCACCAGTGACAGTTGTAGTAGCCACAGTGTGACTGCTGTGACCTCTACTGTAATGTCATTGATAGGACGTTGGCCTTGGGGGGGTGGGTACAAAAAAAAAGCATAAGGCAAGTATTTGAGGGACTTCAATGCTTCAATGAAGCGCGGAAGAGAAATCCCAGGGAGGGGGATTGGATGTGTGTGTCAGTCTGTGTTGTTGATCTGGGGGACCAACAAGCTGGTAGGCTGGTTGCTGCTGGGCTGTGGGATTAAGAAGGCTTGTCTGGCTGTGGGTGGTGGCGGGAGGAAGGGGAGGGGAGTGTTATTGTGGAAGACCATGGGTGACAAGAGAAGGGAATAGAAGATGACAGGAGAGGGGTGAGCTAAAGGGCTTGGGTCGGACCTTGGACAACGGAGGGGGGTACAACTGCATGAGACTGTAGCTACTGGAGAGACACAAGAGGCCACAACTAGGCTTTGGTTTGGGGAGGTGGGTGTGGACGAAAAGGGCTATGGAAGAAAGAAGTGAGTCTGGGGGTTTGGCGACACTCGTGCCGCAGTTTCTGGAAGCTCTGCCAACCCGTCCGACCGCAGACGCACAACAGATGCAGCCTCAAAGATGGATTATTTGACATGAACGTGATCATCCCACGACATGTAGCTCGGCTTCTGACCTTTCCACCCAATCCCCCTCCCCCCACCACAATAGGGTGGGCGAGCTGCCCCAGTCTGAGCATGTGGGTGGGTGTGTGCATATGCCAATGCATACAAGAGGGACTTTGAGTGGCAATGAATGAATTAGTGGCAGGAGATCTTCGGATGATGCCTGTATGGGACGACTGTGGAAGTTTTGCAGACAAACCTCGTCACAAAGCAGAATCAAAAGATCAAGGGAAGAACAGGTGGCCATATTGTGACCTCCAGCACCTAAAACCCTGCTCCCTTGCATGCCTACGTGTTGTAATTGCTTGGGTAAGTAGTTCCCAGAGTGGGTGCATGTTGGGTTGAGCAAAGCCACGGACTAGTCTGGTTTCCCACAGACCATCCCACCCTGTGATTAGCTGGATTAAGTGACAGCTGCCCAAATGGTTGGAACAAGATAGATGGATGGGCAGGGGGATAAAGGGGAGGTGTGGGGGAGGGAAGGGGGAAAGGCTACTGAACAAAGGCCCTTGTCCCAACATCATAACTCACCCCCATCCCAATCAAAACCATTGTCCACGAAGAGACACAGTCAGCACGAGGACAATTAGTGTCAGCATGTGTGCTGCTGAGCCTGGGCAGTCAGTCGCAGGGGCAAAGTCAAAAAAGCTTCCAGTGGATCTCGCATGAGTCTTAATGTTATTACCAATTACAAAATTTCAGAGGTGTACCTTGATTTCATTACCATTACTTTCTGATATACTCAAAAAACATGCGTCAGCTACATTGGACAGAGTGAACGACTTTATCCCAGACCACGAAGAATCCTCTGTCAGTCAAATTTCCAAAACCAAACCAGGCCCATCCCCTGATGGATAAGAGGATTTACTCACAGAAATCCTAGTTTTCAAGTCAAGAAGGGGGGCATGTTAAAAAAAAAAAAAGATGTTGATTTGTCTTGTTCTCAGTGAATTCGTGTCAAATGTGCCCTCTTTGCATCACTAAGCACAAAATGGACCAAACGTCAGTGAAGGATTACATTCAGGTATTCGAGGCTTGTCTTGGGAGAGCCACAGGTGTAGGTTCCCACGCCAGATCAGGGGTGAATTTGTAAGTGGAAGGTGGCCATTGAAATACATTTAAAAAAAGGGACAGGGAACAGGGAGATGTAGCAGTGGGAAGTGGAAGCCGGGGCAGGTTGGGGTCACTAAGCATGGGATCTGCACACTTCTTTTTCAAAAGAGGGGTCAGCCCTCTGCATGTGGGGCGATGTGCATGTTTGCATTTGAAGAATACTAAGAATGTGAGATCCAGGCCTGGTGTGTAATCCCATGGGTGATCCCAGTCTGCCAACAATTGGTATCAATGGAAGGCTGCTTTGTAGATCTGTGGTTTGATTGACTTATTTCTGCCTCTTAGGGAAAGTGGGGACCTGAAATGTTGATTATTTCTAGGTTCTGTTCTTTAGGCAACTATAAGAATCACTGATGTTTACTCACAATAAAAACGCACCAAGGTTTGAGTTATTTCTGCACCCATGTCATGGATAGGTGACCTGAAAGTTCACCTCCCTGTAACATCTCCTGATTTATTGCCTTCTGATAGGACATGAGGTCATCACGATTCATCCCGTGGCCAGTAATCGCTGCATGTAATCTTCATTAATCTGTGATGTCAATCCCAGCTTTTGGTTTTTACTCGGGCTGAGTCTACACTATTCCAGTAAGGGCAATCGAGCTGCGCCATCTCTGCGCACAACACCATGCGATGCACCTTCTACCTTCTTCGGACTTACTGGTCAAAATATAGAAAAAGCAACAGTGGTAGTAATTAGGAATTATAGAATGAAAGCCATCCCATAAAATGATCCTAATCTATTCTGAAAAGTCAGTTGCATATTTGATTCTTATTAGCAGTTAAGACTTACGGGAAGCGAAACAATTTGGTATAATTAACTCCCAATGATACAGAGGGTAATTAAAGAATTAGACAACAAAACAGGCTGAATGTCACAAAGTCTAGACACCCTCTGTGATTTCAAATGGGAGGGGGGGGTTGTTTGGGGGTTGGGGTAGCAGCGTCTTCCAATCAAGGGTGAAAAGTAGAAAAAGTAGATGTGTGTTGAACCATCTTCACATCACTTCTCCCTGGAGGGTGGACCCAAATGCAAATCTCTCTCAGTCTAGCTCCTCAATCTGTTCAGAGGCAAGGATCAAAGACCTC